TATTTAATTTCCGAAAAAGGAGTTCTTTAATCATTCCATCACTGGCACAACTCACAGGACATGGACATGCTGCGCCCAATTTGTAACTAAAACCGCTTGTTCTGTTCCACATTGAGATACAGAGGCTTCGGACGAGGACGAGGAGAGATTAGGAGATATTGAATGTTAACATTTATTTGAATAAGCTGCAGAACATTGTTGGAATTAGAGGAACCTGCATAGTTTTTTGATATTCATGTAGATACATGTAAATGCCACTCACTAAACTTAAGTAAAACGGGATATGAGAAGATAGCTACCGATTGCATCAAGGATAATTGCATTATATTTGTAATATCAAACTGTTCATAGTTAAGACAAGGCAAGCCACTAAAAAACATTTACCAACTAACAATTAACAGAGAACACACATAACAACAAAATGTATATAAGCTGACTAGAAAATTGGTATAAAAAAAAAATAAAACAAATAAAATATAAACTTTTGAAAACGAACTCAAAGATGCAAATGAAGCTACAACAAAGGGCATATAATTTTGATAGTTAAGCTAATTTTAATACATTTTTTAAGACACAGCAAGAGGGCAAAGGTACTACGATAAGGAAACCAAAATAGGAAAATTAAAACCAACTGAGGAGAAGCCGTAAAAATTATTCCATTTTTACACACCCCCCTTAGGAGGGGGTTTCGTTAATTGGTTCTGTTGTTACAGTAAATAATGCAATAAACATTCGCGTATTTCTTACTATTATTGTTATTATTATCATTGTTGTTATACCTAAAGGAAATTTGAATTTGAGAATTGCACAATGATTTTTTATACACCGCAAATTGGCTTTGTCAGTGAAAGGAAACTCGTTTTATAAATTCGATCAACTTGAAAGCATGTCTGGCATTTAAGGCGGACACCACACGCATTGAAAAACGGACATTAATTTATACACACACATATAATGACGAGAGAAATAATGGAAAATAATAGAACTAGAACGCATATTGAATAATAATTGAGACATACATATTACTGAAAGAAATTAAAAGGAAAACATAACAAAACAGATGCATTCCCTGGCGTTTTATTTACTGGGCACAGGTTGGATTGGAAAACTGGTGAACCTACTGTATCCTTGGTTATTTCTCAGCATAAATGTTCCGTGAAGTAAATTACACAAATCCCCGGCATTTCCACCCAAAACCACTAGGCAGCAGAAATTATCTCAAGCCATCGTCCGTCATTCCACGCCGTTGGTTTTGTACACTCAAATGCAGAATGAGTTCAGGGAGGTCGCCTCGGTTCCATCGGTACGTATATCACGACGATGCGATGGAGGTGAGCTTGAGTGGGTGGTGGGTGGTGGGCTGTGTATCGACGCAGTCGCGGCTTTTCCTCCACCGACAACAAAATGAAATGAAGTGAAATGAAATCAAAGGCATCCATCGTTGATGGAGGCACCAGAAGCCAACGCATAGGGGCACACACATGCAACATTGCGGCTCAAGGGAAATTGGAGCAGGAAGAGGATGTACACTGAACGAAAACACATATACCAGGTTTTTTTTATGAGTGAAAGCGCTTTAATATCTGCCCTTCTCAACATTTTTTGAACTGATTGTTAATTTAATTTAATTTAACTTAATTTATTTATTTAACATCCCAGCGCTTCAAGTGCACACTTATAATTATCGCGCTATTCACATTTTATGAGTGAAAGCGCGTTAACGATTTTTAAATTATTCTACATTATAAGTCAAACAATTTACAACCTTAAAATATTACAAAAATATTATTTATCTTAACAAAAAAACAGCAAAAACAAAATCATAACAAATAATATTCAATAGAAATTTTATTCATTTTCATTATTAAATTTTAAAAAAATCCTATTAAATCTGAAGATCTTTTAGACCATTTGTTTCCTGTGCCGAATTCCCCCGCTTTATGGGAAAGCTCGTCCACACATCCTTGCCACCAGATGATGTTTACACTTGAGCTGCAGCATTGGCAAACACAATCTACATGCCACAGCCCCCGGAACCCCACTGATTTTTACCCGATTGGTGCGTTTGTTGTGTTCGCGTATGGGGCGAAAGAAATTGCCGTGGTTTCTGCGGAGGAAGAAGATGGAGCAGAAACAGGAGCCACAGCCTTCGATTCAAGTTGTTTGCCTGGCAAAACCCTAAAACTGAGTTAGCCCGACTCTGCGGTCGTCCTCCGTGCAGGAATACAAACACAAATTCTCCGGGAAGTGGATAAGTGAGGTTGGTGCGAAAAGTTTCGGGGGGGAAAAGAAAGGAAACGGGAACGATGTCATAACCTTAAGCCCCAGTTGATCCTTCATCGATTAGTCGGGCAGGAAGCGAGTCCCCCATACCGGATGCTCGTCCACAAAGTCCTGGCACAAAGTTGCGAGCACAAATCGCAACAAGAACCCAGTTCCTCGGGCTACGCACCCCTCAACAGGTAACTGCTATCAGTGATGAAGAGTACCTAAATATTTACATAAGGGTACATTGAACGCATCTCAATATGCGTACCTACAAATGTACCTTTAGGACAAGTCAAGGTAACGTCATAATTTTTTGCGACTAGGTGGTAACTTTTCAATGCAGAGTTAACCAATCGTCGAAAATTAATCGATAAACATAACAAAGCAATCCTACAAGCATTCGATAACCCAAGAAAACGCATCCAAATTTTCAAAAATGTTTAGGTAAGAAAAAGAAGAAGAATTGAATACAACGATGTATCGTTATTTTTGAAATTTAAATAATATGATTTTCATTTGTAACTGATTAATGGATCAGCTGTTTTCTAAGCTACAATAACGGCCCTTAAACTATGGTTAGATTTTTTTAGACCTTTCATTGCTAAAAAATTTGTTAAACTTTTTTAAGTTTTAGTTTTCTGATTATAGAAACCGATAGTTAAATATTATAAAGGTCGAAGAAGAGTTGGGATTTCAAGTATAGTTTAAATTTAATGTGATACGAATTTTAAAGTCTCCAGTAATATTGTTAACTGTTATTTCTTCAATCACCTGCTTCAAAAATTAGACTAAAGTACCTTTCCCATCACTGCAGACATTCCAGCGAGTGATGAGCTTAAAAATGTGCAGCTTTCGAAAAAGGGAGGTGGACGAATGAAGCGCTCCACTTGGAGGAGCAATTGAGAGGACAACGAGCTTAACAAGCTGCCAGAGCTCCAGGGGCGCTTTTTGTTTCCGACTTTTCCGACTGTTCTGTCTGCTCCTCTGCCGAGTGGCGGAGCAATGGGGGCAGGTAGTTGGCACTTCAATTGAACACATTAATGTGTCACTTTCGTCGGATCCCGGAGCGAGTTTCGGTGCGTGGGGAATGCCATAAATCAACACCCCGACCATCGCCATGGAGAGCTATCGATTAGCCGGTTGGCAACCTTCGGATTTGGAGGTTTGAAAGGTGACAGGGGACGGGGGAGGGGGCACGAGAATTGAGCCATGAGGCGTGCTGCTGCAGCGGTGAATGCGGCCACCGAAACCTGGACAGGTGCCTCTCCTCGGGCCTTGGGTTCTCAAATTTATGAACTTGACTTTCGGTTAGCTAACAGCCCATCAGCCATCAGGAACCCTCATCCTCCTCCGCGCCCGCTCGTCATCGGTTCCGGCCAGACACGAACGTGTATGAAAAGGTTCGCATGACTGCAGGAAATTACCATAATTTCAATTTAAGAAATTAAACGAATTCCGTTCTGGGCTAAAAAGAGAGCAGCGCCGACCGCCAAAAGAGTTAAGGAGAGCGTGGAAAAGGAGCTGCGAATTTCAACAGGATTTAGCCACCTGACATGGTGGGTGGTAAGCGAGGAAGTTGCCTACTTGTCAAAGGGAACTGTTTCAGAAAACGGTACACCCAAAAAAAATAGATATGAAACATGGGTCAATTTTACCTTATTTAAGATCAATTTTAACTTGATATGATCGAACCGTAAAAGCGATATTTCGGTAATATCAATATTTCTTAGCATAGTCGCACACATACACATATACTGTGTTTATACGATGCCGAATTCACGCAATCATTTCACGCTTTTAGCCGATTCGTGTGTGTTTAAACGCCATTTCGTGAATTCGGCAACACACGAAAGTTGAATATTACTATTACTGTGTTTATACGATGCCGAATTCACGCTATCATTTCACGCTTTCGATAAACGATGAATAAATAAAAATTCCATTCAGATTTTAATATTATATTTTATAATTTAAACAAATTTGGAAAACATCGGTTTCTGTAAACATCGATGTTTCTGCACCTCTAATGTACATACATACATATGCACAGTTGCACGTGCTTTTCATTTCTGTTCGGCAGCTCTACTTACCTCCTATAGTAGTGCAAGCGAGACATCATGCTTACAGTTCGAATTTCGAATCCGTCTTTCTTGCTTCCACTCACGTAATTTTGCTTGCCATATTCCTTTTCGCGCTCTATTTCGAAGTTAGAGAATCTCCGAGAGAGAGAATTCGGCAAAATGATATTATTTAAGATCAATTTTATGAATATTTCAGGTAAAAACGATATGAGTCTGAATTACCTGAAATTTACCTGAACATCGATTTTACGGCGACGTGCTTTTTTTTGTGTGTATTTTTAATATGATTTTTTAAATTTTACACTTACATTTAACATTTTAGACTTTTAGAAAGAATGTCTAGAATTTATCATACCAGAATACAACTTATAAGGTCGGATAAGTTCTAATACAAAGCCCAACAGAGCTTTACTTTTTCTAACCCATTTGAAAACCTGAAAAGGGTTGCCTCCTTTGTCAGAGTTAATACCCTATAAAAGGGTTTCCTCCAATCCAACAGAGTTGTCGATTAAAACTCTATAAAAAGGGTTTCCTTCAATCAATTATTTTTGAGGTTAGGCTGCAAAGTGCTATTTTCCAATACTAGCCAATGACTTGTGAATTGTCGAGAGGAGTTTCTTTTCCCCACAACCTTTGCGAGTGCTAAGAGCTATGGACCCATTCCGACGTAATCCCATCCTGGAGGTGACCAAGTGCGAGATGTGTCCCAGGCTGGTGTATGATTTTGTGACCGGATTGTGCGCCCGCTGCCTGACCATTTGGTCCGGAAAGAAACACGTGGACGGGGTGCGATTCACCTTGGATCAACAGAGGGCCATCATCGTGAGCATGGTCCGAGGTGCCCAGGACCTGGGTCCAATGGACCCCGTTTTCCGGCAGGCCATCGAAGAGACGAGGATGCTACGCCTGCAGAAAGTTGAGCTGTTCCAGAAGATTCGACAACAAGTCCAGCTCTCCACTCTCACCGTACCGTTTTACGACAAAAATCCCAAATATGAGACCACTGATGACTACTGGGATGCCCCTGAAATCGTCGATGAGGACTTTGTGAAGTTCCAGAAGCAAATAGACCTCCTAAGCGATGTGCCCCGTGTATCACTAAACGACTTTGACCCGAACAACAATGCACAGTCACAAAAAAAGTACTAAGATGTAAAAGAGAGTTAGGTTATAATAATTTTAAATAAACGTGTACCTCAACTTTTTTATTGAAATTATAATAAAATTCTTATAGGTATTTTTTTAACCCATTTGAAAATTTCTACTTGTAATTTTACTTCGGCTTTAAACTGATTTAATATGGAATCAAAAATGACAGCTGTTTATGAGCTAGTGATAATAGGCAATTACCAATTCGACCAAAGGCCAATTGCTGTCTGGGGAATTTTCGAAAGGATTGAATCTGATGCTTGGTAATTGGCACTTTTAGCCGGTGTAATAAATTACCCAAATTCAGGCACAAACATTTCCAGCGCCCAGCAGTCGAAAGCAATTGAGCAAATGTGTTGGCCAGGTCATCATTACCAATCCGGGATGGCTGGCCATCAGCCATCGGCCATCGGACATCAGACATCAAGCTCTGACTGTCTCCGGGGGCTCATGGACATTTTGCTAATGAAAATGTTTATTCAAATTTACGTCAATGGATGTGTTTACACGAATGACCATCAATCTACATAAATAAACGCAAGTACAAAGCCGGCATGTGTGCGTGTGTCGCCGAGTACCGAGTGTATTGTTCTTTTGCCCGGCATTGTTCAACAATTTGTTTAATGAGAAAACTAATAAATCAAATGCGCCGTCAATTACAATCAAATTTATTGTGGAACGCCGCCGACACAGGATCCACTTGGATAATGGATCGATAGATCGAAATGAATTGAATAGAATAGTGAGGAAAAAATGAATATATGTAAAAATAACTTAGAGTTATAAAGGGAAAAAATATTTTGTATTTATTCAGAGTGTTGTTTAAAAATTACAAATCAAATATTACAACAGCCAACTGTTAATCGACTGCCATTTTCCGGTTTCTGTCCCAAATGATGTGGATTTGGTAGTCCAAATACCGAATACCAGATGGCCAAGTCCAAGGGCCTGTGAATGTCGCAGCTTCCTGCTAAGTGGCAGGATGAGAGGCTGAGGTCAGGCGGAGGACATTAGTCAAGTGCAACAGCTTTCAAATAAACATAAATTGAGGATGCTGCTGTGCAACGGAAAATGGGGAATGGGAAATGGCCATGGGGAATCCCCGAGAGAACTTGGTACTTGGAACCGAGTTTCTCTCCTCTTTAGACGCCTGGTGTCGTAATTAAAGGCAGTCGCGCTATAACGAAGAGAAATGCCCGCTGCCAACGAGCAGAGGATGCGCTTCTAATTTATTTGTTTTTCTCACTTGACTTTTATTTACACGGGCATTGGCATGTGAGTGGAACGGCAAAGGGTGCAAAGTTGGGTGGTTCTTGGGTGGCTCTAAAAGAGATATTGCAGCATCCGGCCGCCGTTTGTTACCTTTGTTTGTGAAAGTTCTCCGTGCGGGGCCTTTTTCGGGGCCAGGGCAAAGTGCCAAATTGGCCTAATGGCGTTAATGCGAATACGAGTCGAGACTAAACCAACTACCAACCAGCCAGCCCCACATCAAAGGTCGTTTACACAGCTCCAGTTTCGGTTTCAGTTTCAGTTTTAGCTTCGTATGCAGATGTAGATGCTGTTGAAGATTGCAGATTGGAGACTGGGTGCACTTGCCAAGCCAAAGCTTAATGGGCCCACTCCCACATCCACATCCACTTCCACTCACAATGCAATGCAAATCAAAGCACTTAAAAAGTTGAGCAATTTGGCAACGAATGCTAATGGAAGTCGACAACATTCCTGGGATAAAATTCGGCTTTGCTTCATTTAAGTTTTAATTTCTGACAACAGGAAATTGGATTATCGAAAAAGTCTGAAAACAAAGCAACAAAGGATTTTTGCAGCAAATCATTTTGGTTTTATTATTTGTATATCAAATATAAATTCTTAAAATATGCCTCCTTTTTCCGCCTGTTCCATATGCAAGGGAAGGACCCGAAAGATGGTCAAGGACCCCCGCACCTTGAAGCAAATCTACGTGTGTCCGGTAGGAAATTTCCTTTATATATTTTCATTACGTGTGTAAATTTAAAATCCCCTTTTCACAGAGTTGCTTCAAGAGCCAGGTTCAAAAAGAAGAATCGGATAATTTAAAGAGAAATGGACAGGCAAAACTTATTCTGAATGAAAATCACAAGACCGCCGAGAAAGTCAAGTCTCTTCCCAGAATTGATGATAATAAGAAAATAAAGGATCCTCATAAAGTAATACAAATGAACAAAATCACGCCTCCAGTTATGCAAACTGTGATAATTAAGAATCGAAAATATGTGGCCATCAGTGAGACAGCCGATGACGAGTAATTTGTTCTTGATTCTTGGTTCTTGGAATTTTAATGAAGCTACTAAACCAACGTCAGCTTATTTCCAGAAACATAAATCCAACGAATGTGGAAGCCTCTTTAAAAAGGTTTTTAAAAATATAATATTTTTTAAATTTCTTTATTGTTGTCTCTTATTTTAATTTAAACATATTCACGCTCTTTTACAGGAATCTAATATTGTTGGCTATATTTAGTTCTAAATTTGTTTGGCTATTGCCACTTTTATTTTGCACCGGATGTGCGTGATGTGGCGGTATTTGTTTAGGTCCCATTTCCGCATCCGCTTCGACTGGAATCGCTGCAGTTGCAATTTTGCCACGCCCACTGCGTAACCCAATGCGATTCCGCCCCCTCGTTACCCCATCCGTTTTGCATGTGCGTGATTTTCAAACATTTCCAGGGAACCCATTAAACTTTTAATGGAATTTCCATAATCATGTTTAAAGTTGCGAAGGACTCTGCGAAGTTTAGTATTATTAGTATTGATTTAAAGCAAAGGGTATTTATTTTTCACTGATGGTTTGAGGAAAGTGCCTATGTTTTCACAAAGTAAATGAAAGAATTTAAGTGTGTACACACAACCTTGAACATATATGTATACCATGCTTCTGTCGCGTGGTTCACACATTGCCTAGCCAGCACACTTAGGCGAAGGTCTGCATTACCATTTCAATTGAAGACCCCAATTCAATTCAATCAAGACCTATACTGATTAGTCGCGTGAATACCGACAAACAGAAAGCACACGTAATCGCAATGTTTGACGATCTGGTGGATTTTTTAAACAAACCCCCTCCCGATCCTGTGCGTCTGCCGCTCCTGAGCAGCCACAAACCCGTCCTGATGATTTTGGGCACTTACCTGATTTTCGTGAAGGTGGTGGGTCCAAAGGTAATGGCGAATCGAAAGGCCTTCGATCTGAGGGGCCTGATAAAGGTCTACAACATCATGCAGATCCTGTACAATGTCGTCATGTTTGTTTTCGTGAGTGATTAATAAAATATAATATATAATAATAATAATATATTAATATTAATTCCAACCTACAGGCGGTCCACTTTATGTTCGGTCCCGGCGACTATAACTTTGGTTGTATTAGCAACCTGCCCCCGGATCACGACTACAAGACCTGGGAACGCTGGCTCACCTACTCGTACTTCTTCAACAAGCTCCTGGATCTCCTGGAGACGGTCTTCTTCGTGCTGCGCAAGAAGGATCGCCAGATATCCTTCCTGCACGTCTTCCACCACATGTACATGCTGTACTTCAGCTTCATGTATCTGTACTACTATGGATATGGTGGCCACGGCTTCTTTATGTGCTTCTTCAACGTTATCGTACACATTATGATGTACTCCTACTACTACCAGTCCTCCCTTAGCCCGAATTCGCAGAGCGATCTGTGGTGGAAGAAGTACATCACTATTGTCCAGCTGGTCCAGTTCTTTATCATTGTGGGGCACAGCATCTACACTCTGAGACAACCGGACTGCCCCTCAGCCCGCTTTTCAGCCATCTGTGCGGGAAGCATTTCGGTGGTCTTTATCATTCTATTTAGCAATTTCTACTACCACGCCTATATCAGCCCCAAAAAGCCCGCAAAAAAGATGACTTAAGTGAAGTCCAGTCAGTGACTTGTTAGAGTAAAGCATTTGGATCTCCATAGAGATTAAAGATTTAATTTAAGATTTTTATAAAGAAAATGCTAAATAAAATCAGCATAGCAAGGCTATAAAATGTGTATTTGTATGGTTTGTCTTTGTCATCTAATCTTATTTTAAAATATTAATAAAGTTTAAAAATGTGTGTTTCTTAGCTTATCCATGCTCCTTTTGATTTATGGGTATAACACTATGCAACATCAAAAATTTACCTCGAAACTTACCATGAATTCGGTTGGCCAATTTTAGAATTTTTTGAACTTTGAGGAACTTGTGCAAGGAATCCTTGTTTCAAGGAACTTTTTGGAAAACGCAGTTTAACTTTGGCATCCATCGAGGTAAATTTAAAGGCCATTATTTTTGTTGCACAATCTTAAAAAGGTTACTACTTACGTCACTTTTACTATCCGCGCTGCGTACATTGACTTTTTATGTAATTTAGAATGTGGATTATATTAGACTACCCTTAACATACAAATACATTTAACAGCCGTCTTATTCTCTATTCTTTTTTGTGACCGCAATACCTTTTCGAGAACGAGCCGTAATCGGGTTTGCTTCCGTACATAGGTATTTATATAAAACCAAGCGCACATAATTGAGACTTAACAACGTTAAAATTAACATTTCATTGGTCGCGACGACCGTAGTCCAGTGTTTTATGAAATGTATCGATCAGTTGCTTTCACACCGACATCGATACAACATAGACCTGCGCCATGTTTGCCCACATACTGGAATTTTTAGGCCGATCCCCGCCAGATCCTGTGCGACTTCCACTCACCGGCAGCCACTGGCCCGTCCTGATAGTTCTGACTACCTATTTGGTGTTTATAAAAATTCTGGGTCCGATGTTTATGCAGAGCCGAAAGCCCTACGATCTGAATGGAGTAATAAAGGCCTACAACATCATTCAAATCGCATACAATATGATTTTGCTTGTCTTTGTAAGTGATCTGTTGAAAAACTCTGTGGTACTTACTATAATTTCTGTGTATCCCACATCTGTAGGCTGTTTATTTTATGGTCGGGCCTGGAGATTATAGCTTTAAGTGCATTTCCAACCTGCCACTGGATCATGAGTACAAGAACTGGGAGCGCTGGCTGAGTTACTCGTACTTCTTCAACAAATTCATGGATCTGCTGGAAACGGTGTTCTTTGTCCTGCGAAAGAAGGATCGACAGATAACCTTCCTGCACGTCTTCCATCACGTGTACATGGTGTACTTTGGATTTTTGTACCTGTACTATTATGGCTATGGCGGCCACGCTTTCTTCTTGATCACCTTCAACGTAGTCGTGCATGTTTTGATGTACACCTACTACTACCAGTCGTCTGTCAATCAGAACTTACGAAATGATCTCTGGTGGAAGAAGTACATCACCATTGTCCAGCTGATCCAGTTCGGGATTATACTGTCGCACAGCATCTATATCCTACGACAAGACGATTGCCACACATCCCGCCTATCAGCCACTTGGGGCTCAATCATCTCGGTTATATTCATAATTCTATTTGGAAACTTCTACCTTCGCGCTTACATAATTCCTCAAAAAAAGAAGACATCGCGAAGGGTACATTGAATAAAAACCAGTTACCATATTTATATTTAATTAACCATATTGCATTTATTTTTGGGGTTTTTAGAAAAAGTATTATCTCTTCCGGTTGTCTTTCGCTACACACACACTGTACGCAATAAGTCAGTGTATTATGTGCCGCCCTCTGGTCTAAAATATTCACTCTGATAAGCTGCAAATAAATCTTACATTAATAAATTTGCCATTAAAAGATTTCATGATCAATGCATAAGATGGAGGTGACTACTCTAAAAATTATTTTATAATTTCGTCGCCGTCGCATAAACAGACGTTGTTTTTAAATAGCGCCTTAAAGAAATCATGATTCGCATACCATAAACATGGTAATAGTGTTTATATAGAAATTATAATAAAATTCGCTTTTCCTCGATGAAAACAAGTTCCTACATAAAAGTATTGAAATTGCTTTACAAGGTCTTAGGCGTGCATTTTTATGGTTAATAGTAGATTACCATACCGACAATTTGCACTCATGTAATTAGCAAATAGTAAATAGCACTGCGACTACCGTGAATCAATGAACGAAAGACTAGAAGGGAAATAGCAATACACTCGATAAGTCGTAAGGCGCTAAAATGTTTGATGTGTTCGATAAGCCATTCGCGGATCCTGTCCAGCTACCGCTGGTCGGCAACTTCCGGACCTCAGTGATAATTATCACAATATATCTGCTATTTGTACTGAAGTTGGGTCGGGATCTGATGGCAAAGCATGAGGCTCTTGAACTACGTGGCGTCCTTAAGGTCTACAACATCGGACAAGTCCTGTTTAACACGGTGATTTTTGTGTGGGTAAGTAGAAGGGTGAAACCTTGAAAAATACCACAAATAGCTATCTTATTAAATATCTTATTTAATTTATCCAGGGCTTTCACCTGATATTCGTGTCTAGGCCGTACAACTTGAGCTGCATGACTGTCCTGCCGCAGGATCACGAACTAAAGTCCACGGAAAGGACTCTGTCCTACCTGTACCACCTGAACAAGCTGCTCGACCTGATGGACACCATCTTCTTTGTGTTGCGCAAGAAATCGCGCCAGATTACCTTCCTGCACGTATTCCACCACGTGTTCATGGTGCTCATCTCGCACCTGTTGATCCGATTCTACGGCTATGGAGGTCATGTCTTTTTCATCTGCATGTTCAACGTACTGGTGCACATTGTGATGTACGGCTACTATTACGCCTCGTCGCAGAGCCAGAATGTCCAGGAGAGCCTATGGTGGAAGAAGTACCTCACTCTGGGCCAATTGCTGCAGTTCCTCTTGATGTTCCTGCACGGCGCCTACACCTTCTTCCAGCCCAACTGCTCAGCTTCACGGGGTGTTATCTACGTCACGGGCGGGGCCAGCTTCTTCATGTTTGTGATGTTCTCTAAATTCTACGTGAAGACCTACATTCGACCCAAGGAGGTCAAGTCCAAGGGCAAGGCAAACTGATTGCAACTGCTACACTGTGATTCATTTGATCAAAACGGCAGAATTATTAAAAGCCTGGTAACAAACTTATTTTTATAATTTTGTAAACGTCTTAACATTTTGTCTCTCATTTTTAAGTTTTTCAATACGTTTTTTACCAGAAAGTTCCTAAAATTCCCAACTGGTTCTGCCGTATTAACTACTTTTTTTTTTATTCTACAAATGGAACGGTTATAAAACATTGGCACTGTAAAATTTAAGAAATGTTTTAACTTGTTTAACAAATAATTAAACCAAAAAAAACATATCATAGTACAAATTCAAAGAAATTAAAAATGAATTTCATATAGGTACCTTAAATAAAGAGAAACGCATTTTCATTTGCCTAAGTGTAGACTTTCATTTGCATATGCGCCGTTTGAATAATAGATGAGTTCAAATGCATCGACACTTAATTCAAATGCAGCCGTGGAGGTCAAGGAGTTGGCCCCGCCCGGAATAAATCCCCAAGGGCCCCATCTAAAGTGCTCATAGTTTCCGGTGTGCCGAATCGGGGGATCCTTTCTCGTGGCTCTGTTTCTCGCACGTGATCTGCATGCCCGGCAGGACTTTTCTTTTTGCCGGAGCACGTGGACATGGACATTCCATGCTGCTTTTAATTAGAATATAAGCAACCCAGCTAGGCCAGTCCAGGCGATTTATGGCACCGGAAGGGTCACCCGTGACTGCCCGAATTTGCATAGGAATCGCATGCGGCGAATCAGAGTCGAAGTGCCAGCTGAATAATTGCGGCCATGCAGTGACATTAAAGCGAAGCCACAGAGTCAAGTGCATTTCTCTCTGGGTTCTGCTCGCCAGCTCACAGTGGTTGATCATATATGCTTTTCAAGATTAAATACAATCAAAAATTCATAAACATAGCAACAAATAAAAAAAATGTATTGTAAAAAGTAAATAAAGTTAAGACGGTGTAAGTTTTCTACGATCCTATAAATCTTCTAAATCTTCTAGCTAATTTTAACACATATATTACATTAAAGCCAAACAAACAAATTGGCATACCAATTAATTGTGGAATTTTTTGGGATCATTACTAAAACCTGAGCTATTCATAAAAAAGATGTTCACATATTATACACAAAACATGTATTATTTAAAATTGTTGTAACAAGAACCATTTCGCAAGTACGTTTTTTAATAATATCTCGATTTATGGAAATAACCTTCAACTTCAAAATCAAAATATTAATTTGAAAAATAAATAAACACTTTTCAAGTTCGCTTTGAAAAATAAGTGGGTTCTTTTGATCCATTTTCAGAAAGTTTCGATAGTTTTTCAGAAAAATCTGGTTTGACACTAAGAAGCTTGGATATTTTAAAAACAATTTGATTACCTTTTAAAAATGTTTGGTTCTGTCGATTTTTTTTTATTTTTGGCCTATGGGCGCCACCACTGTGCAGTTGGGTCCCCGGTTCTCTGGTTCTCAGGACCTTGGAGTGGGGTCTATAACTGGGCAGGGCTGGGTCACCAGTGCTCCCATTTGGTTCCGCTGTTCGAGCCACCGAGCGTGCTGAGTAATTGCCGTTTTAAATGACATTAAACGTGCATTGTGTAGTTCTCTTAGCCCCCTTTTCTTTTCTCCTGCCTTTGATTTTGTCCTATTTTTATTTTTACCCTTTGCAGGGAGTGTGTGACTCTTTTATAAATAGTTTGTCCATAACTAAAACATTCAAGAAAAAAAGTTCGTTGCTTGGACTGCGTTTCAAAATCCCTTGAATGGTATTTCCATGCAAATCTTACATTCTTTTGGGGTCAGTGAGGGTGGTCTTATATAAGATTACGACAAACCATTAGGTGCTATCATTTGCATGCATTTTGCAAACATTTTATCCAAACTAATTTAGTATAAAACGCAGTGTAGTAGTCTTTAATTTTTATTTGCGCTATGCCCACCAACTAGTTTCAAAGAGAATATACAATTTTAAAGGGTTTTTCTTCTTAAACTTAATCCTGTAAGGACTTGAACCGTTAATGGCTGTCCTGTTTCGATTTCTTCTTGCCAGTTCGGATGTAGGTGTTGAAATAAAATTGGCAGAACAGCACGGTGAATGAGGCGGCCAGAAGACCACATCCAATTGTCAACGGCTTGTTGGCACTACAGTTTCGATCCGTTAGCGTGTACATACAGAGGGACATGATTAACGCGAACTGCGCCAGCTGGACGAGGGTGATGTACTTCTTCCACCACAGACTCTGCTGCACCTCCAGGCTGATCGAGGAGAGGTAATAGTAGGTGTACATGACGACATGGACGGCTACGTTTAGGAAGCACAGCGGAAACGCGATGCCGCCATATCCAAAGAAGTAATAGTACAGATAACCGGATAATGCCATGGAGAAATGGTGAAAGACATGCAGGAACGATATCTGCCTATTCCTTTTACGCAGAACGAAGAACACAGTTTCCACAAGGTCTACGAATTTATTGACCATATACCAACTGGTGATGAAGCGCTCCCTATCCTTCAGTTCATGGTCCATCGGCAGATGCTTGAAGCAGCTCAAGCTGTAGGCCCTCGAGACGAAGAGGAAGTGGAATCCCTACAAATTTACTAATTCCATAATTTCCTCAGAGAAACCACATCAATCTGGCATCCCAATACTTACTAATACGAAAATCACACCGTTGTAAACGATCTGCATGATATTGTAGACCTTAATAACGCCACGCAGATCGAAGGGCTTTCGGTTCATCATGAGTCTGGGACCCACTCCGAGGACAATCAGCAGGTAGCCGAGCAGAGTAGCCGAAACCACCCATGGATCGCTGAAGATGGGCAGCTTCACAGGATCTACTGGAGCGGGCATAGTGGCTATGTGGAAGCCCGTTCCACTCTTGATCTACGTTCTACAAGTACACCCAAAAAAAAAATCCTGAGTGTCAATTTAATAACTGTGGGTTAAAATGACACTGCCCCTAGGATCAAATTTTTGGGGTCAATTTGCTCCCAAATGAGTGTCAAAAGTACACCGCGTTTTCAGAAAAATCGTATTTGATACTAAATAGTGTCATTTTGATAAAACTAGGTTCACATCGATCCCAATAATTATCATTTTTGATTTTCGAAGTTCGAAGTTCGGCGATGTTTTACTCGAGTATCGATTTCGTTTATACTTGTCAAGAGTTCGCTCGCGCGCAAAATGGTTCGATGGCCCAGTTGGTAAGGCGTCTGCCTCTGATGCGAGAGGTCCCCGGTTCGAAACCCAGATAAATCAGAGTAGGTAAAAAGTTTTTAAAATGCAAATGTATCATTTTAAGAACAAAAATGTTAAGTTGTGTTAGATTACTGATAAAAAAAAAAAATAATGTTGTTGCGAGCGGGATTCGAACCTCGTTCCCCCGAGCACAAAATAATATCAGAACCAAGCGCCTTGGCCCCTGAGCCATTCCCATATTAATTTTTGCCATGGCAGAATGGTTACAGGAGCTTTCAAGCAAATGTCAAATTTTATTTAATACTAAGAAAATGACACCGGCTAGTGGCTCTTTGACACCAAAAGGGGTCAAATTAATATTTTCGAAAGTATTAAAGTGACACCAGAATAGGGTCAATTTAATGACGTTCGGATCAAAGATTTTTTTCCACTCAATAGTGTCACATTGACACCTAAATAGGGGCATATTGATGACTACTTTTTTTTGGGTGTAACTAATCGAAGATCCACTGCTACCACTGCGCCATACATCGACTTATATATAAAAGGGTTATTTATAAACCGGAAGTCTTTGGTACCCTTTGTTTTTAAAGTTACATAAGTAACATAAGCTTAAGGGAAAGCTTTAAATAAACTTAAAAAAAACAGCAGTAATGACTGTGGGCGGCAGTCCACGTAGTAACGAATCGCATAGAGAGTGTGCAAGAAGAGACTACTATATATAATCGCAGAATTTAAAATCTGCTACGATAATCCGATTACAATAAGATAAACAAACACCTATCGAAGGGAAATGTTTTTCCCTTTAAATCAAAGGCGATGGGCTTAGGAGAACATACGTGAAAGTAGTAAAAATAAAATTTATAAAACTTAGGCTGTGGAAACCAGTTAAGTAAAATGTACCCATATTTGTATTTATAATATCAATAAAATACGGCGCTCTGTTCAAAAATGAATTATTTTTTTGTGTTTCTGGGCCATTTGCAAATGGAAAGCTGAATGCAACTTCTGTCTGTCCTATTTTTATACCCGTTACTCGTAGAGTAAAACGGTATATTTGTATTCGTTGGACAAAATTTTACACGTACAAAGAAGCGTTTCTAGCCTTATAAAGTATATATATACTATATATATATATATATCACAATACATGTCAATCTTAAGCTTCTTGAGCTTCCTACGCAGCGCAAGTTTGCTCCAGCTGAGAGCCACGGCCACTCTAACGCCACAATCGTCTTAATGAACTGATTTTTCAAAAAATTATAAGTACCTATTGAAATGTTGGAGAAAATTTTAAAATCGGATCATTAGTTAAAAAGTTATGAGCAAATAATGGAATGCAAGCAGTCCTAGCAGTCGTGTTTATCTCTATCTCTCTCACACTCATTTAGCCGAGTAATGGGTATTTGATAGTCGGGGTACTCGACTATAGCAATCTGTCTTGTCTACAATTGTTTTGATTTCTTCGGCCCTTTCCTAGTTTTCACCCCCGAAAGATTCACACGGAAACTTTCCGCAAAGCTTTTGACAGGCGGTCTTAAATCCGCCAGCATGAAATCCAATTCACTTTCAAGTGAAAACTGGAACAGGCCGGATAAACTCCCTGTGTAGATAAGAATCTAAAGAAATAAATAAATTATTCGTTACAGACACAAACATTTTTTCTTGCAGTGTGACGATTAAGGAAATTTTATAAAGTGTACTTATGTTTTCGAATGTACGAACAATTACTTCGTCACAAATGTTGATATCAGAAATTTGCTATGCTGAAGGTGCGATCGTCACTAGATTTTTACCTTATCACAATGGCTTTTTGTTTGATACATTAAACTGGAACTGTTAATGAGTAATTTAACTTCGTACTGCCGGGTCCGCATTTTTAATTTCGAATGACGGTTTGTTTTTTAAGTACTTGGCTCCGCAGAAATGCTAAGTTATTCCCAGATATTAAAAGTCTAGTGAATAAACTACCTACGTATGCCTTGGCTAAGGGTAGTGTTTATCTAGCTGTGAGTGCAGCGGCATCGAAACTATTGAGGCTCTGTTCGAATGCGTATTTATTAGTTTCCTGCTATCGCGAAACCTAATCACAGCTGAAGGACTTTTGGATTTATTGGATTTTCAGCTCCGGCTTCTTCTTGCCGGGAAGTATGTAGTTGTGAATATAAAAGTTGGCGAACATCAGAGTGAAAGACGCGGCAACCGACATGCCAAAATATATCACCGGTCGCGAGGCCTTGCAGTTGGGTTGCATTAAAGTGTAGCTCAAGTTCGAGAGCGCCAGGACGAACTGGACCAGCTGGATAATGGTGATGTACTTCTTCCACGCACTCGTCTGCACCTCCTTGCTGACGGAGGACAAATAGTAGTAGGAGTACATGACCACGTGCACCGCCACGTTCAGGAGGCACAGTGGGAATAAGGTGCCGCCATATCCGATTTGAGCAATGTGAAGGTAAGCGCCAAGGGACATCACCACGTGGTGGAAAACGTGCAGAAAGGATATCTGGCGATTCTTCTTGCGCAGCACAAAGAACACCGTCTCCAGCAGATCCATGAATTTGTTCAGGAAATACGAGTAGGTAAGCCATCTCTCCCTGTTCTTGTACTCGTGATCCAGCGGTAGAGTGGTGATGCAACTCATGTCGTACGCTTTTAAAACGAACAAAAAGTGAAGACCCTGAAAAATAGTTATTGTAATTATAAAAATAATTCATTAGAGAGATTACTCTTCTGGTTTAAAACTTAAAATTTTGGACATAATATTCGATTAGATTTTGCTTAAATCGTATACACTTTTTTTAATATTTTAATATTATTTTATAATATTTTTATATTACATTACAATTTTGCTCTCTTCGTTGATTCTTCATAATTATTTATGATATTTCTTTACAGTACTTACTGTACTAACCAAAGCTTTTGTCATTGGTTTCTACTTACGCCTAAGAGAACGACGCTGTTGTACAGGATCTGGAAAATATTGTAGGCCTTGATCACTCCTCGTAGATCGAAGGGCTTTCGAATCTCCATGAAATTTCTGCCCACCTTCAGCACGAAGAGCAGATAGAGGGAGAGAATGGTCAACGGAGGCCAAGGACTGCCAGTAAGTGGCAGTTGGACAGGATCCCTCGAAATAATCAAGGTTCTATTGAGAAAATCTGCCATTTTCAAAGTTTACTCAATCCGCTTCCACTCGAGGTAATGCTTTATAACCGACTAATCACAGTTCTGTCTTTTATGCTCAACAAAATGCTTTTCGATTGAATTTTAAATTCGATTGGTTGGAGCAGCATAAGGAAGAGTATCATTAACATAAATTCATTCTAATTTAACGCTAGTATTTGTTTACATTCGCTACACAGTAGTCCGAGCATATAGGTTTTATGTAAAATGGGTTTTTTATATATGTTTAAGTCGAATATATTGATTACATCACATGTGCACTCATATTCTTAAAACAAATTATTCACAAGCCGAAAAAAAATATAAAATAATTTATAAATATAGGAATATAAAAAGGTAAAAACAAATCGATTTGTGAGAGGTTCGATTTACCGAGGTTTTGCGTTCTAAAAGTTCAAAAGTTGAAGTAGTTTTATTGCATTTATATTGCCAATCGTAGCATTGCAATAAAATATCGATTCTTCCGCTTGTAATTGTTTTATACGCATGTACAAATGCAGTTCACGCCTGTGAAATTCCAATTAAACAACTTTCGACATGATGCACAATGGAATAAATCTTTATAGCGGATATCTGCCAGTCGGAAAATTCGATCCATTCGTTCTCGCTTGTTTTCCTTTGCCTCTGCACGTGCCGTGTAGCCAAAAGCCATTTGTCGATGCGAAATTGCAAGAAATTTTACTTATAAGCCAAGTCATTTTCCACTAACTATCCGTGGACCAAGGAATTACTTTTTATTAAGGGTTGGGCCACTACGGTAAAAGTAATGAGGGTGCCGTCTCTTCAGTGTCCGTGTAGCAAGGCGATGGAGGGGTCTCTCGAAGGACTCTAGGCTTAAGGGCAAGGTGCTGGGGCATTGCAAATTGAGTCATTTTTCATTCGGCACTGGATTACATCGAAAGTAAGGCGAGAAGGCGAGGGCGAGTGCAGCGAGGCCTCAATGTGTCACAATTTCATGGCCATAATTGGGTCACAGAATTTGTCCATTGTGTGCGAGGCTTGACCGCTGAATAAGAAGGATTATGCCGCTTTTTCTCGCAAGCTCTTTATTTTACCTTTTTTTGATTGGATTACGCGGGGACAGGTGCATTAACATTATCCAGCGAAAGGCTAAGGACATAAAACCGACCATTTATAATTCAAACGTTCAACCTTTCGGTTGTCTTCTCATGTGTGTGAATGCGGGGGAAGGCAGGCAAATTGCGAGACTTAAGAATCGAGTCTCATTATGGCAAAGTTAATATTTCATGGGCAATTTACGGAGATTGAAACCGACACACTTCAAAAACTGCGAACGTAAATACACTCGCTCGCACACACGCACTCTGGTGTAATTACGGTTGCCGATTTCCATTGCCACAGGACCTTCTGTTCGTCCCTTCCTCATACAATTTTAAACTCAATTAAAAGTTCTGCGCATTAGACATACTTGTGCCAAAAGAGCGGGACACGCCCCCTCCACGAAATTTGATTAAGCTGGGGAGGCCCCTTCAAAAACGGAGGGGCAATCGGGAGTTACTGAAAGGACACTCGCATTAGTTGTCATTAAAAATGTGAGTGATACCATCTAAATGACTTCACATATGCTGCATGTCAAGGGGAAAATAAAGCCTGACTGCAGTTTGGCCCTCTCAAAAGCGGACAGGTGGATCCAATTGGAGTCAACAGCCCATTGACACACATTGATACGCTCCTTGGCTGCAGGCCCGAGCAACATTTGGCCTGAAAAAGTGGGCTAAAGAGGTAACTTCCTTACTGGTTTCTGCACTTAAATATTTGTGAAATATATACATTTGTAAGAAATTAAAGAACTTAAAATATATCTGTTTTTGCTGGAATTAAATAACTCTTTATTTTATTTATAATCGGAAAAATAACGAAACAACAACTAAAAAAAAATATATCTTGGATGTTATTTAGCATATTATCTTCTACTCTTCAGAATATCATTAGTTGTAAGGCAATGTTTCTTAGGCGCATCGTCAGTAAGTTTCCCACTATGCAAGCACCAATCGTAATATCCAGAGAACCGGTGTAAAGTTGCCTTGATCCCGACTTATCATTATCCTTGACAACTTTCGTTTCACTTTGGTTATTTGCTGGTGTTTTGCACGGACAAATCTCTACTCCATCTAGATCCCCTGTTCTGCACATCACGCAGGCTTGATTCGTGTAGTTCTTAGGTACAATAATTTGACAACCAAGCTTTGGTGACCAAACACATATATATCGAAAAAATGGATCTTGTACTGAACAAAGAATATGTTGAATAAATTAAAAATATATTATTGCTGACACTTTCAAATACCATCGATTCTCATTTTGCTAGGTATGCATTTGTCCAAATCAGCGGTTAGCGGAGGGTACGATGATTTTAAATAGTTAGATTTAGTAAAATGAGATAGCTCAACATAGTATCCCGGATCACTTTCGATAATGCAATTGCCCTTATTGTCCCCAGTGCAGTCGCCGCACATTACAAGGTCTCTATTAAAATCAGCACATGAAGTAAACAAAGCCAGAGCGAAACTTAGAAAATAAAATATTAGATTATTTGACATTTTTTTCGACCTAATGAAAATATAGTGGACTTTAAAATCACTTAAGACGAAAAATTCAAGGAGTACTTTTTAAAACATAGCAGCTCAAAATACAAAATTCTAAAATATTTGTAAAAAACTTAAAAACTTAAAATTAAGTGATTTTGAAGACATTTAAATCTTATATTTTCTTGTCTTCTTACAAAAATCTATAAGTTTGCTATACTAACTATACTCTTTTTTATTATCGCAACAATCATAATTTAATCTGTCAATTTTCCTCTCCTTCAGCCCGACCGCAGAAAAATCCATTTACATTTCCTGGCGGCCTGAATGCGAAATGGGAAATGCGAGTGGTCGCGGCCGCCTGAATAATGAAAGCAAATCGGAAAGAGGCAAAACAGCAAAAAGTTAAATGCCTCTAATGACAGAAAATGAAGCAAATGACGAAAAATTGCGCAAAACAAAAGAGACAAATAATAACATGCCAAAATGGCCGACGCGGACGAGGGCCACCACCCACAAGAGTCCAGCGCACCAGCGAAGATAGGAAGGTAACCGTGGGGGCCAAGTGAATTACCAACAACGGGCGAATCAAGAAAAGCATGTGCGCGGCATAATTACGAAGCAATTAGACGAAATTATTATTGAGGTCAGTGGCGAGGGGAGTGCCGGGCAGCAGCAGGCCCCCGAGAACATATGGCCCATAGACGAACCACCCCACTAGCCCCCTTTTCGAGGGGTGTCGGGCCAAAGGGATGCGTATGCCATTATCATTCACGCCGGGAAAAGCAAAGGAAGAAGGCGCAGCGTAATGCCCTCTAAATGGGCAGCACAAAGCGCACACCAAAACAATACTTAGTAGAGTAGAACTACTGGTTCAAGCGGCGAAAACCGGAAAAAATTAAGGAAATCTATGGAAGAGGAGGCTCTCCACACCGAAGCACAAATGGGCTGCAAAAACAATAAAACTATAGTTTTACCAAAAGCTGCAATTTTGTCATTATTATTTATTACAGAAATTATTATATAATAAATTAAAAGCATTGCCGATTTTTGTGCATGTGTTCAAACCCATTGTAAGCTTTAAAAAATGGTTAAATTATATAATACAATTTTAAACTGTTTACAATTTTACTTTTGTAAATGTCAGATCCCAAACAACATACATTTCTGTAATATAAAAATGTTTTAGCATTCTGTCCCATCTACTAATATTTTAAATCATATTTTGATTAGTTTTGCATTAGTTTTAATTTTAAACATTTTTGCAAGTGTATTTTTTATTACAGTTTCGTAATGTCCCTCCTTTCCTAAAACTTTGTCATTTTTGGTTTGCTCAGCTGCCACTGGGCAATGACAATGAAATCCAGCTAGCCAGGAAATGGAATAAAGAGTTTTATTTATGGCACGTGCACCTGCATTTGGTTCAGAAACTTATTTATGTGCAAAAACATTGAAGCTCGATTTTCCAAAGTCGATGCGATCGCGTGTGTAAAGTTCAATGCTGGGCAGTTATTCAATGAAGCAGTCAAAACATGGCGCAAAATGACAATGACAAACAGGTGAACAAGGAGTGTTATTCGCCAATGGGGGCGTGGCGCGGCCTTGCATGTTGACTGCTTGACGGGGCTCTCAAAAAGTTCAGTTTGCTGCACTTTTCGAGTTCGTAGGTCACTGTCAAAAGCATATGTTTTGTATTTTCATCAGTTGTTTAGTTATTTCTTTTCTTATTTGTATTATAATTTTGATTTCTAATCGAAGATGATTTGAAATATTTCAATCTGTACATCAACAAATTTACTTTTGAGTACATTTTATAAACTTAAATTTTAAAGGTTGCGCGCCAAAATTATCGATACCTTCGATTTTAAAAGTTATCGGAAAGAAAAATACCAAATTGTAGGATTGTTGTTTTTGGTATATTCTGCATAGACGATGGTAATATTCTGACAGTCGAGCCGCGGTCACACTGAACGCTAAAAAAAAAATCGGATTAATTTCGTGGTTTTGCTGCTGAATTTTCGGGAAAATAGTGTTCAAGTGTGCCAAGTGCAACGGCTAATTAGAGTAGCTAGCGTAGTAGCATCTGGAAAAGTGTTTTTTGGCCGGGAAAATAGCGAAAAGAAAGCAGAGTGTCTGCTGCGAAGACGAATTGAAGGGGAGACAGAGTAACAATGAGCGAGCGAGACAGCAGCTGCCCAGTGTATGCGCTAGCGGTGCTCCTCTAACCAAATAAAACAAAACAAAGGAGAGACAAAGGATAGAAACCCCGAAAAAGGCACACACACACACGCGCGCACACACTTGCAATAAGAAGAGCAGGCAGCAGACAGAAGAACTAAAACAAATGGAGTTTAATTAATTGCTAGTCGAAGGGTCCCAGGATAAAGCCAGCCGATCTGATCCGATCGAAGACAATCTGCCTCTGCCACTGCGAAAGTGCGAAGTGAAGGGGAAGGCGAGAGAAAAGTCGTCGCCAAATTGTGCATGTGCATGTGCCAGTGTGTGTGTATGCGGCTGCCAGTGTGAGTGCGTGTGCATATGGGGTTGGAAAACTGTGAAAACTCAAGCGCAAAAGTCTTTGGCTCCGATTAACTCGCGGAAAAAGGGAAAACGGAACTCATCATCACTGGGCAGGTGAAAAGAAGATGCCGAGCGCCTCGTTCACCTCGTCGCGCACCTACGTGCGCCGCTCCCGCCGGAAAGGAGCCAACCGGAT